CTTCTTGAAGGTGGTTTTCTTGTTCCTGGAAACCTGGTAAGTGCCTCATTTGGAAATCGATATAAGAGGAAACCATCAGGTCCCTCCTCCATTGTTGCAACTATCACACCATCTGGGGATCTTCTCTTCATCCCATTGTGGCCCTGTCCAGCCACTCCCAAGTCATGGCCCTTCTGCTTCACAGGGGAGTCACTGATGTGAACCACATCTTTGGAGATGGTGGAGTTAGCAACACATTGCTCCTGGCCTTCTTAATCGGTGTGGGCTCACTTGAGCTCACCAAAAAGTTAGGCCTGGAAGGTGAAGATGCACTTGGACGCAGCACCCTAGACCTCTTGGATGTAGACTGCAAAAGCAAGGCTGCAGTTTTTTTATTGGTCCAAGTACACTGAGGGCTGCTGTCCACATCTGCAGCGCATCGATTCAGGGCATCACATATCGACTTCACAGCTCGAGAGAGCTTCATCCCCCTCTTCATACTCTTGAGCTTTTTGCGACAGTGCTGGATTGCGTTGCAGGTGGACTGGGCCCATTTTTTGCAAGTGTCTGGCTCTGCCTTCACAAAAACTTTCTGGGCTGCCTTTGTTAGCACTGACACATTTGGCATTGGGGTTAGTTTCAATAGGCTTTTGATGAAGATGCTGTAGTGATCTACAACATCCGTTATGTCCCATTGAACTTCGCTGGGTCAAGCATGTCCAGCTCGCCTTTCAGGCATTTCTTCAAACCCTCCTCACTAGCAGTGTTTTTGGCCCGAGCCATGGCAGCTATACCTGCAAAGAGTCTCTGCTCAGCCTATATATCCTGCAGGAGAATTCAAGGCTGCTGGGTTTGCACATCCATGTCAACACGCATGCAAAAAATGCAGAAATGCCTGGCACTCGATCGCACTTCTGGAGCAGGTCGCATGGCTGCAGCCACAGGGTCTGCGTAGCCGAAGTGATTGCTTAAACGAAGTGCGTTAGACCATTTAGGTTTATCCACGAAAGGTTTGGTGAATATGTCTGCTGCTTGTTCTCCAGTGTCTACATTAACCATATTGAAGTGACCAACCTCAAACTGCTGCTTCAGCCATCGGAAGGAGATGCGCTGCGTCCGGTCTGTACGACACATGGAAGCACTCGATCCTGCGGCGGTTATCGTAATGGTGGCCTGGTTCTCCTCCAGCACTTGAACCTTGAAATTGTCTGAGAGGTGCACACGCAAATGATCAATGTTGGCGACAGACATGTCCTTGGGTGGATAAGAAGAACGGTACCGAATCTCATCTAACTCGGGGTCAATCTTTGCTATGATGGAAAAGTCTTTGTTGGGTCTGTCATAGGGCTTTAAGTTGCGATCGGGCCCTATTTCGACCTGCTTCCAAAGGAAGGACCACGGTGAAAGTGCTTGAGCCCGAACTCCATGGATAGCAGCAACACCTTCTGACTCAGTCGAGGATGTGGTAACGCTTGTCTGCTTCTTAGAGAACGCGTTGAGAGGATAACGTTTGGGCCTACCACTGCGATCATGCATCCTGAAGTAGACGTACTATCCGCATCTCCTGCCCAGTCCGCGCCGCAAAACATCCACAAGTTACCGTCCGAAATCTTGTCTCCAACAAAACCCTTCAACTCGATGCCCATGGAGGAGTTTATGTAGCATATTAACCTGTGGAGAGCAACGTCGCAGTCGGGAGACCTTTTGGTGACCCTGGATGCTTGCGCTTGCGTTGCACGGAGGAGGTCCCACCTAGCCATTCGCGTCGCAATAGTACCTTCATGAGGACGCGTGAAGCAATCCCCGCAAGCTTACCAGTTGGCTCCTCATCTGGGTCGACAGGTTTCGTTACGCGGGCCTCATGGAAAGGGGTTGCAGCGTGCCTAAGGGTTTCCGATCAACCTTAGCCAACTTGCAACGCTTCTCATCACAAGTGCCAAGAAAGTCCTCCATGTCATACGTTACTGTGTTGACTTTGTTAACCATGCAAGGGGTAGGTTTCTCGATAATGGATTGTTCAGGCGGTTTGAACCTACTTTCTTTCACCTTGTTCTTTGTACGTAAAGTCCTCTTCTGAAATTGTGAGGTCAAGTGAGAAATAGGTCCTACCTGTCCACCAATCGAACTTTGCTTCACCCCCCTGATTACGTAAAGTCATCCACATGAAACTCTTTCTTTGAGTCGAAATCTGTCACACGAGCGATCTCCATCATTGGAAAAGCTAGTGCATCATCTTCGGTTGTTACGTAGAGCTTCTTCCTAGGGTACACATGATGTCTGATCATGGCGCTGGCATCCTTCTGACCGGCAACGGGTCTCCCCGCGCAATAGCTGCGGGCTGCCCCGCAAAGACGCGGGCAAAAGGATGTTGTGACTTAGGGACGGAGACTTGTTGCTGTTCGACGTGATTACAACCAAAGTAGCGACCAAGGGCTTCAGGAGGATCCATATCAACGACGCTGTTGACACCTTTCCAGCCTTCGGCCATGTTCTTGGTCGGACCTGCCATCTTAAAGTCGTCTACGTACACGACTAACATCAATTCAAATTCAGGATGGTAGAATACGCTTTGGTTTCTGGGGACCTGTTGGGGCACGAGAAAAATATGAACACCTGGGATCAGTTATTTTCACAAATATTTACAACATGTGACGTTCAGGAGATGAAAAACAAACGTTAAAATGAGAGTACCCCTTCAAAGGTCCAGTGATTCTCAAAATTTTTGGGTTGCGCGCAAAGTCTGAATCGCATCTCTCAAAACCAACAACTGCTCCATGTTTGCTGAGCGTCGCGAAGCCCAACCCTCCTGTATATTCACCGACTCGATACAGTCAGGCACTGCAACCTTTGTCCACGCTTTAAACAACAGTAAATAAACAATGGGCTCAGGCAACCGCAAGACGAATTCTGGGGGCTGGCCGCCACTGAGGCGCATCCAATTGCTGAACTCACGTTCCGACACACCAAGCACACCTGCTGTAAAGCACCGAGCAGCTCACACAGGATTCAGGTTGAAAAAACAAGTGTTTTTCCCTGTCCGTGTTTCCTGCAACGACATGTTGACTGACAACTTCTCGGCTTTCAGCACTCGAAAATAATATAAGGAGTTTTCCAAAACATCCTGCGCAAGGACACTCCAGAAATCATACTGGGCTTTCATTGCTGAACACAAAGGCAAGAGCGCGGTTACGCCGACCAGCTCATGCCCTGTTGGCCAAACACTCTGACATATTGCCCCCATCTCCAATTCATCATTCAACTCATGCTGGCACAAAGCTGAATAGATCCCTGGACTGCACTCTGCTTGCACACTCAAGTGTGTGTGCAGCCTCCCAGTGGCCTTGAAAGAATCTTTGCGCTTGTGATCACTAAAAGTGGCCAACCAAACAACAACCGGTTGCTGCTCGTGATGTTCCATGGCAACGAAAAGAACCTACGCAAACATTGCTTCAATGAAACTTGATTTTGCAGTTGCCTGGGAACTTCGGGACACGACTGCTCTGTCTTACACAAGTACACACCTATCTGATAAAAAATGCTACCCGGTGGACACTGCGAAGCCATCATGGCACACTACAGCCCCAAAAATCCCACATATTGCTGCCAGACTCACATCTCCACACACGCCGCCCAGAAACCCCCAGATCATGTTCAAAAAAAATATAACCAAATGACATGAAAATCTTGCTGCAAGCCCTGCCCTGCCAGAAAAATCATCAAAGTCCCAGGTTTTGGTTTCAGAAATCATTCTTTGTTTTAGCAAACCCAAAAGCTACGTTGCTTTTTCAATATGTGAGTCAGAAGTGGGTATGATAGCTGAATCCACCTTTTTATAAAAAACTGAACACTTATAAGGGCCTGCACCAGGAACAGAAGAGCCGTTACGAAAGTAGCTACGCCAAATTTCACGCAAGGCTGGAATCCACTCCCAAATGCCTCCGGCATCAGGATGACCCTAGAGTGCTAATTGAAGAGGACAGACGGGGCCATCGATTCTTAGGGAGGCGTACCCCCGTAGTAATGCCTTCGGAGAGAGCTTGTGTGTAGGCCAGCCTAGCACCCGCCTGCTGCTTCGAGGAGCCTGGTTGCGAGCCATAAGCCATAAGCGTCTAGGATCTTACCTGATTCCATTGAGGCTGGGGATGACCCTAACTCAGCGAATAGGGCGTGGTCACGGTGTTCGTCAGGCACACGGTTTCTTCGGAAAACACCACTACCCTTCCACTTTTTGTTGGGGTCCCCGTCAGGTACTTGCGCGCCCTTTTTGTGAGCATATCTCAAAGATACGTCCGAAGTGAACCTTCGCGTTGCTCTTGCGTGCCTCCTGGGCAACGTCATCACACTCACGAACCTTTTCTTCCAGCCAACAGGTTTTCTTCCGAAGCTTCTCCCACTCCGCATCCATTGCCTCTTGGGCTCCAGCGTCTGGTCCATCTCGGATTGGGAAACCACCCTAGCAACCACACCGGAGACAAGTTTGCCCTCAAGCAATTTCCTCACGCGGACCCTCGGCTGGCGGTTTCCCGCTGCTGACGCCGCTACAACGGGCATTGCTGGGGCTTCGGCTGCGGCTCTTCTGCGCTTAGCGTCTTCAACCTTCTCCAAGAGGTCAGCATAACGCTTCATGTCGTCTTCCTTTTCTTTTAGGAGTATATATGTTCCACATGTCCAGAGGCGTGTCCGGGGCCTCCTACTCCCTTTGCGTTTTCTGACTAGGCGCCAACCATCGTGTGTATAACCCTTTAGCACCGGGGAACCATCAGGCATCTTAGTGTGGTCGTGAAAATACGGAGTTTCTATCCCACTTCCGTCCGATGAACCAACCCCCCCTGACCCTGAACCTTGGGTTTACTCTCGCCGGCTCCACCCTTCTGAAGAGCCTTGTTGACCCTGTCCTGAACAGCATGACAATTCTGGTCGTCAAGCTCAGGAGGTGTACCTGAGTTTCCCTTGTCACCATTGCATCCCTTAGTCCATCAACGAATGTCACGATGTAGCCGCCCTTCCAAATAAAACCGGGTTGGATACGATAGCTCAGGAAAATGCCCTCAGCACTTGACGGACCAAACTTGGTGCGCGCAGTAGCTTTACGTTTGGGGTCATTCCAACACAGGACCTTGGCTCTGAACGGAACACTCATCCCTCCGAAAGGTTCCCCAAATCTCAAGTCCCATGGAATGGCATCAACATCAACACGCTTTGTCAAATCTAGAGCCATAGTACGGCGCTGCGCCGCCAGTGTGGCCAAAACTTCTCGGGCAATCCTGACTGAGCGAGGTTTGCGCGCGTACCTTCAAGAATGGTACGGATCTCGCGCTCAGCTACTGACTTGTTCTGGTTTGCGTACTCCCTGCTGGTAACATGCCTCATCCTTCTGTCAAGCTGCTTAACACCGTGAATGAGATCAGGGGCATTATCTGGGTACATCACGTTTATGTCGTCATCAACACCGACAAAGTGAAGCAAATCCTCCAATACCTGCTCACCCTCTTTTGTGTCAGAAGGATAGACATATCTAAACTTTGAGAACACGTCTTTTACAACTAGCGCGACTCGTTGTTCGTCAAACCCATAATCCCTCAAATCCCTGGCAATGATATGGTCCATCGTCAAATGATCCCCGTATGCCTCACTCCTGACAGTGGAAGCACCCCCAGTCTTCTTTGTGTAAGGGGCCATCATCTTTGCTCTCTGACACGTGGGGCAAAACGGGTTCTTGGGTCTGTGGCAGAACAAATGCTTTTGGGACGTATCCTTAGACATTTTGTCTCCCTCGGGGCCGTGGTCCAAATTCAAATCACTATCTGGGACCAATTCGGGGTCATCATCAGGTCTAGCAAACATAGTAACAGACATAATTGCCTTTTCCTCAAACTTGCCTGCCTTTACGCCTAGACTCCGAATGTCAACGTTATCCTCGACATTAGACCACTTCCCTTCTCTGAAGACCCAAGTAGACCTCATCACACAACCCCGGAATTTGGGCGCTGGTGTCCTGAAAACCTTAGGATAATGTGCGACTAACAAGCAAGGATGATTGGCTGTAGTGAACCACCCTGACTTTGACAATTGCTTAGGTCTACCAGGCTACTTGGTTCTGGCTTCCGCTTCCCCGGCCGGAGGTTCCCCTCGCCTTATCGGGTAAAACCCTCATCCCTTTCTGGGGCAACCTCGATGCCTTGCCTGCCGAGTTCATCAAGCCACTCATCCAGATCAGCATCGTCATCATCAACGCTTGGTCTGGACGGAGCCTCCGACAGTGCTTGGGCACCTGAGTTCACCTTCGACTTTGCTGGGAGAGCGTAACCGCCTGAACCACCCCCTATCACGGAAACCCTGCCACAAAGTCTGCAACGCAGCTTCGACCCATCGGGCCTCACGAAGAATGGCTTGCGGCCAATAAACCCATAGCGCTCGTCCAAGCATCGCTTGCCAACCGACACTACGGGAAGGCTGCTATTAAGGAGAAAGAAGTCTACGTTCGAGTTTAACTCGGGCACCGTTACCTTAGCAACTTTGTCAGCACTTGTTGGGCCGTCAGCGGCGATTAGATTCACGGGACTGTCCGCTGTTTGGGGCTCAGATCTTGGGTAACACCGCCTCTTGTCTGTGGTGCTCAACAGGTCCTCTTCACTGCCAGTGTCAGCCAGGAACTCCAAGTCGCTGACTTTTACTGCGCAAGCCATAATTGGGCGGCAATGAACACATGTACCAATCCCATCCGGACCAACGCACTCGAACTCACACTCTGCGGTAGCCCCTGAGAGAAAGACCTTGACCATGTCCTCCAGCTCCTGCGCTGTCTGGATAGCATAATCGAGATCTTCTTTGGATGACTTGGAGCAGTCATTTGCATTACGGAACTGACTCTGAAAACGACGGGCCCTTGGTGCTGATGACTTCGCGCTATACTTGCACTTGATTTAACGCACAATCGGTTTCGCGTCAATCTCAAGGACTTTTGGGGCGCTCGGTACTGTGTGTTAGGAGTGGTTGCAAGATATGGGGAGTGCGTCCTGCGGCTAGGTGACGCAGCTGCCGCGTAACCGATCTGTCCCGACCAAGCAGCACGCAGCTTTAGTTGATTTCTCCCGGGACTTGAGGGCTAAGCTTCCTGCGCCTGCCTGCATGCCTCGAGTTTCTGGAACCCTGGGAAAGCGACCTGTGGGGGTACTTGCACTTGTCACCCCTGCTTCAGCCAATCAAAGCAAACCCTGCCTTCACCGTCACCCCCTTTACCTCTGCCTTTACCGTCTCTACCTTTTCCTTTGCCCTTTGGTGGGTCCTGAAACGAGGCGTCGTCCGGCCGCCTGGTTTCCGAACTTGTCTCCATGCGACCTGGCTATCTTGTCACGATTCCTGCGGACGCACTCATGGGTCAGGAGATCATGGATTGACTGTGTAAGGAAGCCATGTGTGGTTGCGGGTCCCCTCTTTGGCACGATCGTGAATCTCTAGGTCGTACTTCATGCGTTCTGATTTCCGAAGTTGCCTTAGCAGGATATCCCTCAAAGTGTTTTCCTCAGGAACATGAGACATCCCGGCAACAACGGAATCCCAATTGTGAATGAAAGTTGACAAATCATCCCTGTTCAGACGTACCTTCAGTAGGTCTTCGACAGAGTAAAGCGAGCCAGCTTCCTCATAAGTTTTAAAGAGCTGCGCAAACATTAGCAAAACTTGGCGCCCTCGCACTGCATGACCCTTACTTGCTTCAACCTCCTTGTGGTTGAGTATCCTGCGGCCAAGCTCTCCCTTCACGACTTTGGAGAGGGCAGCTAGAAGCTTCGTATCAAGGGTCAAAACTTGCCTGTATCCCTCAGGGATTCTAGCGTGGCCTCCCTGATGTATACTTCTAGCCACCACTTGAAGGCCTCATCGGGCTGATCAGATGCTGCACGTACAGTCTCATGCGTAGAAATCTGCCAGGACCTGTACGTCTCCGGGCTCGGAAAATCCGGCAGCTTGATGCTTTCAGCCTCCTTTACTTTGGGTCTTTCGGGCTTTTGAGGCTTGCTGACTTAGGAGTGACGCTAGGGCTGCCTCCGTGGGGTTACCCGGCACGCGGTTTCCCGGTGCAACCGCAGAGGTTTTAGTGTTTTCTTCTCGACTGCTAGGTGCTCAAATAGACCCCGGAAGGATGTCAGGATTGTTTTCGGGTTATCATTCCACGGGGACTGAGGCGCGGTCGGCATCTGAGGCGGAGCCTTTGGTTCCAAACCTGGAGTGACTTCGGGACCGAATGCGCGAACGTTGAACCTTGGTGTTGAGACGTGCGATCGTGATGACCTTGCCTTTCCCTCTTCCAACTTTTCCCTGAGTACAGAGATCTGCTCCTGCAAAGTTTGAGTCCGATCCTCGTAATCCTCTTTGACCTTAGCTACTCTCTCATCCGCCTTCTCATCACGAGAGTTAAGTTCTCTAGAAAACAGATCTCTGAGGAAGTCAAGAGACTCTTCCTCGTTCTTGCGAAGCTCACGATGCAAACCCTCTCGCTCTTCCGCTACCTGGTTCTCGCGCCTAGCAAACGTAAGCTTGCTTTCCTGAAGCTCCCTGGCTTGGCTCAGTAGCTCTTGTCTAAGTTGCTGCGCGACTGCTTGCAGGTTAGCGAAATTCCGGGCCGCTGCAGACATTTCACGCCGGTGATAATGTTCTGCTCGACTTTCGGTTTCCCGCAGTACGGCTGCCGACTGTTCTTCCTGCCTCATCATGATGGCGTCATGTCGACGATCCGCTTCAGCTTCCAGGGTCCTGTCAGGTGCGCCTGTGTTCGGGGCCAGAAACAAGTTCTGGTGGTTGTGAGTACTTCTAGCATGTACGTTGGCCATGCCAGGAGGAATTTCTGAAGGGGTACCATCCCACACGATCTGGAGTAGGTAGTCCTGCTTGTCTAGCCATTGCCTCCGACAGTGTTGAGATAGATGTTCAAAGACCAGCAAATCCTGTAATTTGCAACATTTGAGATCTTCCAAGATCAGCAAATGTTTTAATGTGCAGCATTTGAAGCAATCCAAGGCCGGCAAATGGTGTAATTCTCAGCATTTGACACGCGCCGAGACGAGAAAATGCTTTAATTTACAGCATTTGAAGCGTTCGAACACCGAAAAGGAGCGAGCCGCACCTTTGCGCAAAAAAGCCCGAGCCACACCTTTGCAAAAAATCCTTCCGCTATTTGGAACAGTCTCAGTGTTAGTATTCTTCTGGTTAGAAGTAATAGCGTCTGTACCAGTAGCAGTATTGGTAGGAGCATTGCTATTTGTAGTAGTGTGTGCTAGTAGCAGTATTCTTTACGAAAGCAAGTCTTCGGGTCCAGCTTGAGTTTCTTATCAAGGGCTCGCTTGCAACAAGGGGTGCCGGGGGATCTTGTGGTGCATGGTCAAATCCAGGCTTTGTCAGCCAGATAGTATGGCAGGGATGGTTTCTGGCGTGACTCCGGCGGTCGTTTTGCGACCCTTAAAGAACACGTAACACCGTATCCGACCATTAAAGGACACGTGCAGAACACCTTAATTTTGCTCAAAAGAACGATAAACGGTGTTGAAATCCCCGATACGTTTGAACTGATTCTACAGCTGCAAGTTACAACATTTGCTGGTTTTGGAACGCTTCAAATGCTGTAAATTATAGCATTTGCTAGTCTTGGTTCGCTTCACTGGTCTTGGAATATTTCTAATGCTGTAAATGACAGCGTCTGCTGGTCTTGGAAAGCTTTACATGCCGTAATTAAAAGCGTGCGCTGGTCTTGGAACGTCCCAAAGGCTGTACATCACATCAGTTACAATATCTGCTGGTCTTGGAATGCTTCACAAGCTGCAACTTACAGCATTTGCGGGTCTTGGAACATAGCAAATTCTGCAAATTACAGCGCTTGCTGGTCTTGGAACGGTTCAAACGCTGTAATTTACAGATTCTGCTGGCCTTGGAATGCGTCAAATGCTACAAATGAAAGCGTCTGCTGGTCTCGGAAAGTTTTATTTGCTGTAGTTTACAACATATGCTGGCGTTGCAACGCTCCACTCCTTCAACTAGTTCCCTGGGAAAGGAGTGGGCGTTTGGACTTGGGGGTACGAATAAAGCTTAGGTGCGGGCTTGATGTTTCCAGCTTATTTGCTGGTTGATACGGGAGGATGGAACTGAAAAGGAATCACTGTATCATTGAAGATTCCATGAATAAGAACTTGTTCTAAGATTTTAGATATAATCTGAGATATCAGGCGCGAACAAAATAAGCCGCACAACCTTCTCTCACTGCAAACTTGGTGATGGCATGATATTGCTTTGTTATTGCACACATGGGCGGCCGGAAAACAGCGGGTGGATTGGAGTGGGGCGCAAGCCCGCCCATTTGCTAGCAGACTGATCTGCCCAACTTTCCCTCACTGCAAACATGGCGACGATATGATGGCAAGCACGGATGGCTTTAAAACAGCAGGGGGAGGTTGGGGGGAGCGCAGCCCACTCGCCCATTTGCAAACAAACTGATCCGCACAACTTTCCTTTCCAGCAAACATGGTGATGACATGATGCTGCCGCTTTATTGTCAGCATGGATGACTTTCAAACAGCCAGGGGGCTGGGGGGCGCAGCACGACTTTCCCTGTCTTCAACCATGGTGATGACATTATGTTTTTAATTGGAAGCATGGACGGTTTTAAAACAGTGCTTTTTTATTGAGAGCATGGATGGCCCAAGAGGCTGCAAGAGTGACAGCAACGACAGTTACGGTGGTATTACAGCGTTTGCGGGCCTTGGAACATCTCAAACGCACTCAAATTACAGCATTTGCTGGTCTTGCAATGCTTTGAACGCTGTAAATGACAGCGTGTGCTGGCCTTAAAGGGTTTCCAATGCTGCAAATTACAGTATCTGCTGGTCTTGCAGCGCTCAACGCTGTAAATTACAGCATTTGCTAGTCTCGGAAAATATTTCAAAGGGACCACAGGACCAGGACCATAGGACCAGAGGACCAACGGACCAGAGCCACACCAGACAGAACCACACCTTTGCAAAAAGAAAACCCGGGACCCGTTCCAAATATTCATCCTAAAAACTGAAGCAAGATGAATGCAAATACCAAACTACTCAGGGATTTTATGATAAACACAAACATGCTAATATCTAAAGGCTTATTTTTGTTACTAAGACAAATACTACTACCCATAGCAGTACAATTACCAACATTAATACTGCGGTACAATACTAATACTAATACAAAAGATGAGTATGGACTTTATTTGACATTACTCCTATTACTGACACCAGCACAAAGCACATGCCCCCATACACTAGACAGGGTCACCACGCGGATCACCAGCATGCTTGCCAAGCGAAACGACGTACGACCTTCTGCGCACACGCGACTGGTGACACTCGCAAAGTGACATCAAGACAAAACCACCATAAACGATGCACGACCCCGTGTCCGCGACACTATTCGTACTTGCGAAACAAATGTGCACCAACACTACTCTGACACGACGCCTAACCCAGCGCGTCCGCGAGACCGTGGGCACTTGCGAAATGACATCGCATCGAATCCAGTATAGACCAAGGCACGGCCCCCTCGCATAGGACTGCTGGCACTTGCGACACCAAATCGTGCCAAAAGCGTTACACAAGGTGGGGGTCCCGTGCTCACTTGCCAGTTCAGCACCCATCCGCTTTCAGTTCCGTCCCGCGCAAATCTTTCTTTTAGGATGCTTTAGCATTTAGGCATTATAGGGTTTGGGTGGAGGGTTTTGGGGTTTAGCCATGCAGATTTACATTCAGGGTTGGAGGCGATT